GTTGGACTAGATGACCCACAGAGGTCCCTTCCAACCCCGACCATTCTGTGATTCTGTGAAGACTCCCCCCCTTTTCCTGGAGCCCCTCATCTCACCTTGCTGGAAAGGTGTGAACTGGAAGCCGGGCAGGTAGCGCCGTAGCTTGGCATTGCTGGCCGTCTTCTTGAACTGCCCGTCCGCTTTGGTGGTGTCAAACTGGGTCGGGGAGGGATTAAGGGAAACCAAAGGTGGGAAACCAGGTCTCGCTCTGCCCCACCGTGTCCTGGCTGGGGCAGTGGGAGGGATGCTCTGGACCATGGCATCTCCCCTGGAGCCCTACGGCTGCTGGTGGAAAGTGGGGTGCTCTCCATGCCGCAGCAGCCTTGTGAGCAAGGTGGGGGGGGGTCAGCCCACAGCGAAGGATACAACAAGCTCTCCCCTGAAGTCCATGGCCTCCATGATTGCCTCTGCTGCTTCCCTGATGGAGACTTCATCTTCTTCTCCCACTGTGAAGGACACGATCATGGCTGTTCCTCTTCTTCCAAGAAAGGGGGTTGTAGGGGGCCGACTGGGGCTTACCTGACAAAATGATGGGCTCCACCTCGTCATATTCCCGTAACACCCAAAGAAAGAGCCGGGCTAGGTCCTGTGGAAGGGCAGATGGCTCCTGGGGGGTGGCTGCTGTCCCCCAGCCCTCCCATCGCAAGGGAACCCAACCCTAAGGATGGCCAACCCTGCCCCAGGACAACCCAAGTGGGCTCAGAACTTGCTGTGGTCCAGGCATCGACCCCTCCAGCCCCAGACGCTGCCCTCCCCAAGCCCTGGGAGGCCAGCGCTCCCCAAGGCCATGCATACCAGGGAGTAGATGAACTGTCTCCTGGGCTTGCCCGTGCCCCAGACGGTCAGAGCAGAGCCAGTCTCTGCGGAAGCAAGGAAAGCATGTCCATGAGCATCAGAGCCACCTCCACTGACCCTGCTACTCTGCAGAGCTCATGGAGCAGGGAGAAAAATCAAAAAAACCAACCCCCAACCCTCTCCAAAAAAAGTCATAAGGAGTCCTGCCGAGCTCACGTTTGGCCAGGTAGACCTTATGGATGAGCCCCGGCAAGACGTGGCCGTCCTCGATGTTGAAGTTGTCGTGCGGCCCGAAGACGTTGGTGGGGATGACGGCGGTGAAGCGGCAGCCGTGCTGCTCGAAGTAGCCCCTGGGTGAGAGCAGGGGAGGTGCAGGTGGGTTGTCAGCCAGCCACAGTCACCCACCCCTCCAGCACCGAGCTGCCCCCCAGAAGACCCCAACCACCAGCAGCTCAGTCTGCTGAGCCCAGGTATCTCCCCAGCTTCATTTAATTCCTGGGAGCTCCAGGGGCTTCTCTGTGCCCGGATAACCGGAGGGTGCTTGCAGCCCGCACGGGCTCTCCCGTGTCCTTCCCGCACCTATTCTGGATGTCGATCATCCTCTTGGCGTAGGAGTAGCCAAAGTTGGAGCTATGCGGCGGCCCGTTGTGAATCTGGGGACAGGAGACCAGAGGGTTAAGCAGGGCACGGACCCCTCCCAAGCTGTGCACGGGGACGGAGATGCTCACCATGGTCTCATCGATGGGGTACGTTGTCTTGTCCGGGAAGATGCAAGTGGAGAGGCAGGAGACCACCTTCTGCACCCCCGTCTCGTACGCCGAGTGCAGGACGTTGTCGTTGATATGGACGTTTCTCCTCTGGGGACAGAGAGATTGGTCAGATCTGTGGGGTGGGGACCTTCCAAACCCTGCACCCTATGGGTAGGAACTCCAGAAATCAGAGGAGCTGTGGTTTGGCCCCGGGAGCAGAGCAAACCACGTCCCCATGTCACTGCTCGGGGAGGGCAAGGGGTTGCAGCATCCACAGGGGCCCTGATACCACCCATTCCCCGGGTGCTCACCCAGAAATCCAGGTTGTAGCGGATATTTTTGAAGAGGCCCCCAACCATGGCGGCCAGGTGGATGACGTGGGTGGGCTTGTGCTGCTACGGCGCCGTGGCGGCGGAGGCTGCAGTCGGCCGTGGTCTGTACTGGGAGCACGGGAAAAGCTGGTGCAGAAAGCAGAAAAGTTGTTGATCTTACCCCTCTCTGCTGGGAAGAAGGGCTGTTTGCTGGTTCTTTTGGGGAAAGGCAGGCAAATGTTAGGCAACACCCCAAGGCTGTCAAAAGGGTGGAAGAAACAATTGGAGGAAAACTGATTTTTAGCTACTTGGAGGCTCTGAAACGAGAGCAGTGGGAAGCTGAAAAAAGTGGGGGGGACTCTCGGCAGGACCCAGGGCTTTGCAGTCAGGCGGTTTCAAACCTAGGGATAAACAGGATCAAAACAACCCTCAGGGGAGTACGTTTATGCCTCTCCTGCTAGCTGCTCTAACACCTTGTGAGTGCACCCGTCCTGTTGCTTTTTGGAAGTTAACGTTTTGGTGCAGATGCTATAGCAGGTCATGCCAAGGTACTCTGGCAGTGACTCTTCCAGTGTCACTTGGAGTTGTCTTTGGGGTGAATCAGTATTTTGGCAGGCTTGAAAAGAGCCCCAAATCTCCCCCTGCACCCCAGGTTTGCACCACGGATCTCCTCCTCCATCCCAGATCCCAGGTCTGCACCCCACGTCGCCCCTTAAACACTGAGTCCCAGATCTGCACCCCAGGTCTGCACCCCAGATCTTCTCCTGCACCCCAGATCCCAGGTCTGCATCCAGGTCTGCACCCCAGATCTTCTCCTGCACCCCAAGCCCCAGGTTTGCACCCCAGATCCCAGGTCTGCACCCAGGTTTGCACCCCACACCTCTCCCTGCACCCCAGCTCTGCACCCCAGATCTTCTCCTGCACCCCAGATCCCAGGTCTGCATCCAGGTCTGCACCCCAGATCTTCTCCTGCACCCCAAGCCCCAGGTTTGCACCCCAGATCCCAGGTCTGCACCCAGGTTTGCACCCCACACCTCTCCCTGCACCCCAGCTCTGCACCCCAGATCTTCTCCTGCACCCCAGATCCCAGGTCTGCATCCAGGTCTGCACCCCAGATCTTCTCCTGCACCCCAAGCCCCAGGTTTGCACCCCAGATCCCAGGTCTGCACCCAGGTTTGCACCCCACACCTCTCCCTGCACCCCAGCTCTGCACCCCAGATCTTCTCCTGCACCCCAGATCCCAGGTCTGCATCCAGGTCTGCACCCCAGATCTTCTCCTGCACCCCAAGCCCCAGGTTTGCACCCCAGATCCCAGGTCTGCACCCAGGTTTGCACCCCACACCTCTCCCTGCACCCCAGCTCTGCACCCCAGATCTTCTCCTGCACCCCAAATCCCAGGTCTGCATCCAGGTCTGCACCCCAGATCTTCTCCTGCACCCCAAGCCCCAGGTCTGCACTTCACATCCCAGGTCTGCACCCAGGTTTGTACCCCACACCTCTCCCTGCACCCCAGCTCTGCACCCCAGATCTTCTCCTGCACCCCAAATCCCAGGTCTGCATCCAGGTCTGCACCCCAGATCTTCTCCTGCACCCCAAGCCCCAGGTTTGCACCCCAGATCCCAGGTCTGCACCCAGGTCTGTACCCCACATGTCTCCCTGCACCCCAGCTCTGCAGCCCAGATCTTCTCCTGCACCCCAAATCCCAGGTCTGCATCCAGGTGTGCACCCCAGATCTCCTCCTGCACCCCAAGCCCCAGGTCTGCACCCCAGATCTGCACCCAGGTCTGTACCCCACACCTCTCCCTGCACCCCAGATCTTCTCCTGCACCCCAAATCCCAGCTCTGCACCCCATGTCAGCCCCTAAACCCCGAGTCCCAGGTCTCCACCCTAGATTTCCTCCTGTACCCCAAATCCCAGCTCTGTATCCAGGTCTGCACCCCACATCTCTCCCCGCACCCCAGGTCTGCACCCCAGATCTAGTCCCACACCCCAGATCCCAGGTCTGTACCCCACACCTCTTCCCTGCACCCCAGATGTCTTCCCGCACCCCAAATCCCTGGTCTGTACCCCAGGTTTGTACCCCACACCTCTCCCTGCACCCCAGGTCTGCACCCCAGATCTCCTCCCGCACCCCAAATCCCGGGCCTCACCCTCCTTTTGCCTCCCCTGCACC